CTACATACACGCATACACTCACAATACACTCACTCCTGTAGGCCCGCTAATATAAAATCAATAGTCACTCCGAACTCCAGCAAGTTGGCAACAGTTCTTCAACATTAATGGCAGTTCCCTACTACCAACACTAGGGGGGGCTCTGGTGGAATTGGATCTCCACTACGGCCAGCACACAGGCAGCCCCAGCAGGCCCCGGTACACTCCTTGCCCTTGCAGCGAACTGTGTCCCAGTAATGTTGGAGCGGTCGATTAAAATCCGTAGATTGGCCCTGCTCCATAAGTCCCTGTTCACTCAGTGTTTCCCAGCCGCAATTCAAGTCCCGCAGCATGAGTTCTCCAGGGTCCGCGCCCCCCAGCCACTATAGACTTAAGGATAGAATAGGCGGGGGGGGGAGGAGGGGAGGCAGCTGAAAAGGGGGGGGAGAAGGCTCGGTCCCGGCACTCACACCACCGGGAGACTCAAGCCAAAATTCACCGGCTCTCTCACAGCCGGCTAACTCCCAACGCTGCCCCTACCTCCCTGGTCGCCAAAGTTGTCAACAGTCGGCCCAGCTTCTCTGGAGAGGTTCCGTTCCACCGGGGGAGTACTCCACTCCAGCTCCAATCCTGGGGAGCACCTGCCACACCCCAGGGTTGCAACCCCTCCGCGGCTCCACAAACCGGCACAGCCCGGTGCAGTCGCCTCGGCCCTGCTGCCGCTACTCAACCCCGCGTCTCCGCCATTCAGCAGGTCCGTGCCCCAGCGCTTCCGCAGCCCAACGGACCGGCGTAGCCCGAGGCTCAACGGCCCAGCGAGAAGGGAGGGGGCGGGCCGGCAGCTCAAGGAGTCGGCGTCTCGGCACTGCCCGGTGAGTCGGCGTTCCACGACGTTTCGGAGTCTCAGCGTCACGGCCGCGGCACAGCTCGGGGGGGGGGGAACGGGCCGGCAACCCAAGGGGCCGGGGCCTCGGCGTCACAACAGCTCGGGGGGGGAACGGGCCGGCAACCCAAGGGGCCGGTGCCTCGGCGTCACAACAGCTCAGCAGCGCCACGACTGGGGGGGGGAGGGGGCAGCAGGCAGCTCGAAGGGCCGATGCCTCGGCGTTGCGGCGTTGCGGCAGCTCGGCGACTCAGCTACTCAATGGCTCCGTATCCTCGGTATTTCCAAGCCTCCCCAGGCTCTCCAGTCCCCTCCAATCTTCGGTGGTGTAATAATACAGTCTCAAACCGGGAGCCCTTCTTCCGTTCCAACTTGCTTCCTATCTACCCTTGCCTACCAAACAGTTTACTTCACTAATTGCAGTAAGTTTAAATTTGAAATTCCATTAAATTCCATTAAAAAATGTCCTAGCTAACCGTACCACGGGAGAGCTCAGCACCAGAGCATCCACCCGGTCGCCATCTTGGGATGCACTCATGGTGCTCGGCAGTGGAGTTGCAAGGGCGGCGGCGGCCGGGACCATTGGGGGCGGGGGGTGTGGCCTTATGACACACTTCCGGTGATGTCAGGGGGTGTGGCCTTATGACACACTTCCGGTGATGTCAGGGGGTGTGGCATATGCTAATGAGTTATGCTAATGAGTCCCCCTAGCTCTTTTTCTACGAAATGACCCCTGATGATGCCCTCCCTAATTCCACAGTGGGAGGGAAAGGGAAGCAGCGGGGGTGTCTCTCCTAAAAAATAAGGTTTCTGGCATGGCAATTTGTGGGGCAGGGCTTTTGATTAAGGGGGCAGGGCCCCCCAATGCCCCATTGTAGCTACGGGTCTCTTTGAAAGCAGACCCTGGGGAAGGAAGGAGACTCAGCAGGGATGTGATGCGACAGAGCCCAGCAGGGCTATTTTTGGGCAGGAACGCACAGGAACGGAGTTCCGGCTGGCTCCCAAGTTGGGCACGCCCAGCAGGAACTCATTAGCATAATAGGCCACACCCAACAGCAGGAACTCATTAGGATTGGCTACAATTAGGGGTATGTGGCCTAACATGCAAAAAGCCCTGGGTTTTGACAACAAACAAGAGAATAAGAAGCAAAAGGTGGGTGTGGTTGGATGACCACACTTCTGGTAACATGGGGTGTGGCCTAATACGCAAATGAGCTGTGCTGTCAGGGGTGTGGCCTAATATGCTAATGAGTTCCTACTGTTGGGTATGGCCTATTATGCTAATGAGTTCCTGCTGGGCTTTTTCTTCAAAAAGAGCCCTGTAAGCCCACTCTCTGAACCTGCCACTGTCTCCAGGGGAAACCAATACCCATATTCTGGAGATCAGCTGTAACTCCTGGAGAATTCCAGGCCCCACCTGGAGGTTGCCAGTCCTTTCAGCCACCCTGGCCTACCTCGCAGGATCCTGCATGAAAGCACATTCCTGAACGCAGGCTTCCATTGCTACTTCGGGTCAAAGCCAATGAAACACATTTTCATATTTGGGCACTGAGTTCCCATTGAGATGGTGAATCCATCTCCGGGCTGCGGTACGTCCGCATGCAGGTAGGGATTCACAGGACTGACGGCTCCTGTGTCCAAAGGGGAAAACATCAATGAAGCCTGCAAGTAAAACTATCTCCGAACAGCCTTAATAGCTGTTCATGTCCCACCGCGGCCGGGGTGAGCTCCCAGCCCTTATCCTAGCTCCCGCCCACCCAGCGGCTCAAAAGCCCTTAACAGCAATTAGGCAAATGGGTACCCACTCCTTAAGAGTGGGGGGGCACCCTACCCTACCTCCAATATTGGAGGGCAGCGGCGGCGGCTGGACGATGCGGTGAATCGATGAGAACATGGCGACGGATCGGCGGCAGACGGCAGGCGACTCGGGAGACGATTGGAGGTGGCGTGGAGGCGCGGTGACGTAAGCACGGTTGGAGCCTCCGGGACAGAGACCCATCGCGACCTCATCGTGCAGCCGCGCACCATAAAAGGACCATCCCAGGAAGCCGAGCCGAAGAGACGGAAAAAGACCTCCGCCGAAGGACACTACCACCTGGTCCTAGCAAGACCCCGCCACAGAAAGACCCACGCTGCGTAGGTGCCTGGTAAGGCATCCATCTCCCCTGATATGTATGTGGCCCTAGTTAGGCGATTAAATGTATATGTGTAAACCGCTCCGAGCCTCTGGGAATGTAATAATAATAATAATAATAATAATAATAATACGCACAGAAAAGCAGCAGTGTAGGAAGAAGACTGGGCTTGCGCCCTTCTCTCCGGCATCTTGGTAGGGCTGCCAGCACTGGGTGGGGAAATACTTGGAGACTTCAGGGTTGGACCCTGGAGAGGGCAGGGTTTGGGGAGGGGAGGGGCCTCAGCATGGTACAGTGCCATAGAGTCCACCCTCCAAAGCAGCCATTTCCTCCAGGGTAACTGATCTCTATCAGCTGTAGATCAGTTGTAGAAGCAGGAGATCTCCAGGCCCACACCTGGAGGCTGGCAACTCCTTCCTAGGGTTGTTTTTTTTTAATGGAGAAGGATTTGTTTTGTATGGAGGAACGTTCCATCAAGTGAGCTCCTATCAGTGTTCAGAAACGGAGCCGCCGAGGGAGCTACTCCCGTTCCACCTCATGCGAAAATCAGCCCTTCCAAATACCCTTCGGTTTGCAGTAAATTGGAGGGAGTAGAATCCTTCCTTCTTCGTAATACAGGGTGTTTTTTTAAACAAGAGAGAGCAAACCAAGTTTAAAGAACTTACTCATTCCATGGAAATCTCTCTCTCTCTCTCTCTCGGCAAGCGAGTGGGGAAGCTGATGAACTGAGATTTAGCAACAAAAAAATCCCTCCTGTTGATTTTTTGAGAAGAAAAGGAAGCATTTGCCCGTGCGCTTGCGGTTTCCAAGGTACATAATTCCAGCTGAAGGATTTCCATCACCCAGTGTGGTTTTGACCTGGGGCCAAGGTCAAAGCGAATGTGAACTGTTACTTCCAATTAACTTCAGCGGCTGTTTACATAACTGCCTCCCTCCGGCTGCCTTGCCAAAGTGTAAAACGGCCACGTGCAATTACTGCAGGCGTACCACCGGAGGACCCGTGCCATGAAAGACTTCCGAGAGTGTCAGGTCAATGCAAGCACTGTTCTTTTCCTGCCACTCTCACTGAGAGCCCGGACTTTGGAGGGTAGGACCGATGGCCTTAGACCACAGATCCTGTAGGGGTGAGATCACTCCCCTCCCCAAAGCCTCCCCTCCTCAGGATCCACTCTCAAATCCTCAGGAGTTTCCCAACCCACAGCTGTGGCAACCGTGCTTGCTTCTGAAATCAAAATACAAAAGGGTCAACAATTCAGTGTTCCCTCTAAGCTGTGTGAGCTAGCTCACCGTTTGTTAGCCTCTGGCTCACACATTGTTGTCTTAGCTCAGGAAGGATGGGCTCCAGAGCAAACCAATTCATGCAGCAGCCAAATCGCTGGCTCACAACTTTAATGCCAGTAGCTCACAAAGTAGAATTTTTGCTCACAAGACTCCACATCTTAGAGGGAACATTAGTCAACATAACTTCCTGCATTTCACTGGCCCCCCAATCTACTAGGCAGTCCATTATGGCTTTCCCCAGTTTCCTCGTAACGGTTTCCCTCCGTTCTCCCTTTCCTCTTAAATCCTCACACATACTTCCTCCTGGACATCATAACTTACAGATTGGTTGAGCGAGAGATCTTTCTTCTCCTGATGGTGGATCCTTCTCCCACAGTTCAGGCTCTTGTGAAGTGCAAAATCCTCTGTGCCACAATGGCCTTCCTCTGGGGGGGGATAAGGGGGGGGAGGATGGGAATGAGAAATAGTGTCCTGATTGGCTCTCATCAAGAGAGGCAGCCAATGACAAGTCAGGCACAGACAGACCCTTGTCTGAGAGAGACTCTTAGAGGACATCTGAAGGAATCACCACACCACAGCTAAGGGTCACCCGAGCCCAGCTATTCTATAGGAGTAGCAAAATGTCCATCATTATGGGGAGCGGGCAGCACAAGGGCTTGCTTACTAGGGGGAGCCTGGGTGCATGCGTTGCACATATGGAGAGACACTTCCCCGCAGAGTCCCTGGCAGTTACTGCACTGACTCATACACTTTTATTGTTTCTAGAGAAGTACCACTGGACATGTGATTTCACTGGAGGCTTCATTTGTATTTCTTTTCCTTGCCCAGTGGTTAAACTTTGGAAGTAAGTCAATGGTTTTTTGTTTGGTAATGTATTTACAATGTATGTATTAGTTGTATATGTGGTCTAATCTTCTATTTCTTTTATTTTTACAGCAATTGATTTCTGGTCTTTATTCCATATTTTGTATATGTAGAATTGTATGTATTTTTGCACATCAGCCAATATGTTCTGTATGTATTAGACCTCTGAGGAAGGCCTGTAAAGGTCGAAACGCGTTAGGTCTATCTTATTAGGTCTATCTTATTAGCCCTTGTATGTTTTTATAGTTTTATATGAGGTATGAATGGGCCCTTGTTTGTTATTTTAATTTATGTTGAATAAACACACACATATATTTTTGAATATTTTATGATTAGATTTTTAGAGTTGGCCCTTTTCTATTCCTGACTAACCTTTTTAGGTTCTGAGTTACTGCAGCCCACCCCTGGTTCAAAAATAATAATGTCCCCATTTTCCCAGAGGAATGAATGGCACACACATAGTAGAAAAGGGTGCACTCAGGAGCACTGCGACAATTTGCGGGATAAAGTGACAGCATGCCAGCTACATTGGCATTAAGAAACGAGCCTGGACCTAATACATGCACGCAATCACATGTTCACCACTGCTTTAAGTTACTCTTCAGTACACCGTCCCTGGATCACATGTTGGGTATCTCCCCGGGCCAACCCCCCACCCCCCACTTGGCTTCTTCTAGTTATGTTTTCCCCCCCATGAATGTTATGCAGATTAAAGGGCCTTTGTTATGGGTCTTTGGCACACATACTCAGCTGACGCTGTGCCACTGTACACATTGAACTGTGCGAGAATAAACACTGGCTTGTGCAAGTGATTCTTGGACTTTCCCCGTCCAATAGAATCCTAGAGTTGGAAGGGTCCATATAGGTCATCTAGTCTACCCCCCTGCTTAATGCAGGATCAGTCTAAAGCATTCCTGACAAGAACCACTGCTTGAAGGCTGCCAGTGAGTCCACTGCTGAACTACTGTAAATACTTTAAAATATATATATTTTCCCTAATATCCAGCCGGTACCCTTCTGCCCATAATTTAAACCCTTTATTTAATGCATTTATTTATTTATTTTGATTTATATATTGCGAGTCCTATCCTCTGCTGCCAACAGGAACAGATCCTTGCCCTCTAAGTGACAGTCTTTTAAATACTTTCAAATGGCAGGATGCCTGAGTCTCTCTCTCTCTCTCTGTGTGTGTGTGTGTGTAACCTATGCATCGTGTTTCAGTTTCTAGATTACCAGAGAAGCCCACTAAGATGATAGAGTGTTACTGAGGACCCCTTCCCTTGACGTGTGTTGCCCGCCCCAACTCCATCTTGACTAAACTCACACCTTGGCAGCCATTTTAGGAGCTAGCAATGTCTCACATTGGGGAAGATGAGGACATGGCTCTCCTTAGTCAGGCTACACTAGAATGAATGGCCAAAACCTTAGGCAGGAGATTGATTCGACGATGGAACACCTGCATGCTTTCTCGTCACTGTAAAGAGCTCCCAGAGTTGAGAACCCACCTCAGTCTATCAATATAATTTTGTCAGCAAACCCAAGTCCTCTGGAGTGTAAAATCTAATTACTATCAAGCCGCCAGGTGGGCTTGATTACTTTTACTGCCCTTGCCTGGATACTTCCTACTAACCTGCCTGAGGCTAGGGCGAAACCTCTACCCTGCAAGTTTGTTTCCCGCCCAGGATATTCCCCAACCTGAGTGCAATCACCTTTTCTTGCCTTTCTGGGAAGCACCAGGAAATCCATAGACCCTCACCCTGGATTCACCTCAAATTCCTGTATTTGACAATCACAAAATCACAGAGATGGCATCTGTGAGGCCTTAATTTTCATGACAACTGCACTGGATAAAGGATAGTGTCTTTTAATGGTGTTTTAATGGTGTTAATTTTTATATATTGTATTTTTTTAATCAAATCTGATGTAACCCGCCCTGAGCCTGCTATGGAGGGCGGGATATAAGTCAAAACAAGCAAACAAACAAACAAATATCAAAGTACAGATTCCTAAACCACACTTTCTGCTCCCCCTGATTGGCCAGTGTGTCAGTTTTCCAAGCTAGGAAGACATCCCCCACCCCACCCCGCCAGCTCTAGGTTTCCTATTTGCACACTTATGGCAGGAGACCTCCAGCTAATTGTAGCCTTTCCCCACCAAGCTTAGCTGATTATCTGGTGAAAACTGGGGCCAAAGGAGGGGATGCGATTGTTCTGGGGAGAAAAATTTAACAGTAAAATAAGTCTTTACCATAGAGTTTCTGGCAATTGCTAGAGCTACTCTTGTCACTTCTGTGTAGCTCTAGGAATTTCCAGGAACTCTATGGTCAGAACTTCCTATAAGTAGCCAATGCCTTATTTTTCTTTTACAATTTTTATTCTGGGACGCTGCCTCCCATCCCACAACCCTCCTGCCAGTTTCCTGGCACTGCCTGACAACCTACCTAACACTGCGCTTAAATACCCTCAAACTGGTCACAGTTATGGGCGAGTGTTCCGAACCCAGGTTAGAGAGTCCACATGTATCTAAGGATACACATGAAGGGGAGCACATGTCATAATAATTGCCACTTGCTCGCCAGTACTGCCCATGTCCATCTGAAAACAAGAACAAAATCCATGTGATGCCTTTTATTGTTGGAAAGTGCCATTAAGTTACAGCCAACTTATGGTGACCCTGTAGGGCTCTCAAGGCAAGAGGTGAACACAGGTGGTTTGCCATTGCCTGCCTTTGGATACCCTTCATTAGGACCAGGGGTCTTGTTGTAGAAAAAGAGCTGCCGGAGCTCATTAGCATAACTCATTAGCATAACTTATTTGCATATGCCACGCCCCCTGACATCACCGGAAGTGACAGAAGGCCACACCCCCTGACATCACCGGAAGTGTGTCAGAAGGCCCGGCTACTTACCCTCCTGCTTCATCCTCATTCCCAAACGGAATGAGGATCGAAGCAGAGGGTGGGGTAAAGAAGGGGGCGGGGCTTCACCACGTGACCGCCCCGCCCCCTAGAGGTTCTCTTCCGGAGCTCCATACCTGAGAGCTCCCCCCCGACTAGAGCCCTGATTAGGACCAACCAAACTGACACAAAACCCTGTTGATTGGGTTGATCCTAATGAAAAGTCTGATCGCGCAGCCGTGCGTTATTTTGCCCCGGGGCAAACAGCCACGCTCCCCCCCCCCGCATTTTCCGGCCCATGTGACCGGGGCCTTTGTACCTCAAAGAGGTCTCAATCCTACCTCTTCTGGATCACAAAAGGAGAACTTTCCCCAGCCCTGCTACCCTAGGATGCTTACAACAGAAGATTCAAACTTCAGACAGTGTCTAAAATGAGAACCTTTGGGTCTCTTTCCCCTGAGGTACACGGGGGACAGTTGTCGTCACTCCAGTGATAAGAGCAGGGGTCATTTCCTGCGGGAGCACACAGGAGCGGAGCTCCGGCAGTAAGGAGCCCAGGGGGCGGGCACATGCCACAAGCCCCACCCCCTGCTCCTAGCAGCCCTCAGTCAGAGCAAGAAGCAGCCAGGTAAATTGCAGAGCCCCCCCCAGCCCGCTTTCAAGTACAAGCTCTCCCTCCCCTGCGAGGACCGATCTGCATTCCCCCTCCCCAAAATAGCTAGCAATCCAAAAGAGTCCAGTGGAGCCTGAGCGGTGGGTGTTGCCTTCTGACACACTTCTGGTGATGTCAGGGGGTGTGGCACATGCAAATAAGTTATGCGAATGAGCTATGCTAATGAGCTCCTGCACCTCTTTTTCTACGAAATGACCTCTGGATAAGAGAAAGGCATTTTGCGCATCATCAAAAGGCATGCTTAAAATTTCCCATATTGTTCTAGGCGTCAACTCTGGCAATGGAAACAGATGTCTGATTTCTGGTTTAAATTAAGTTCTGAGCATCATACATGCAAATACACATCACCGCTGAGCCAATGCCCTTCACACTTGGGTACAAATGTATTGCGTTGATTCGTACAAGGATTCCTCTCGCTAGCTTCTCCTTGGTAGCCGTTTATCAAGGGATGAAAGACAGACAATGAGTTTTTGAGCATTGTTGAACAGGATTTTTTAAAATCCAGTAACAAATATCAATTCTGTAGACTCTTTTGCTTTTTAGCGATAAGCCCCATGTACAATGCAGGAAAAATGAATGGCTAGGACATAAGTAACAGCAAATAGCACTATGGTGGCAGAGAACAAACAATCCACCCCAACAGGCAACCTGTGTTAACAGCAGGGATGAGCCGCTCTTAATGGCAAAGTTTTTAAGTACTTTGTTATTTCTCAGGTTCATAGCATGACACAAACAGGTCACCTAACCTTTGTCCCATTTAGACCCACCAACAAAGCTGATGATGCCTTTCCCCATTGTCATTGAGATTTGTAAACATGTTCTCCTCCTTGGATGCTACAGAATGTAAAACATACCATTATCAAGATTTATAATTTACTCATACCCCGCTTTTCTCCCACAATGGAGACCCAAAGCGGCTTCCAACATTGTTCTCCC